GATGGCCTTGAACCCCAAGTCTCCTGGGCACTGATCACATCTATCTTCACGCAAGGACAGCAGCTTCACCTCAGTCCACAGCTTTCCATCTTTCTCCTGGACGACTGTACCATCTTCCTTTCTCCCTCTGTCCCCAACACTTCTGTCTCTAATCCCTTGCTTTGCTATGGCAGCTTGAGTGATCTTTTGAAAACATAAATCAGCGCATATTGGACTCCTCCTCATTGACCTAAAACCTTAAGTCTTTAGGCCATCATTTACTCTTGGCCCTGTCCCTCTCCAGCTCATAATGCCTCACACCCCCACATGCCCTCTGCATCAACCACACTGGCTTACTTATTTAGCACCAATCTCCCTATGTTCCTTCCAGCCGCCATGCCTCTGTAGGCTGCTCTCAGCCACCAGGAAGGAAGGCCTTCTCTCTTTGGAAAACTCTTCCCATTCTTAGAATTGGGCTCTCCCTCCTCCATATTTCCTTAGCTCTCTATTGATATGAGTCACACTCATGGCGAGATGGTTAATATTTTCAATATTATGTCTTGGAGGGAGGCCTCTAGGTTACTGTGTAGAGGGATTGTCTAGATTAAGGTTAGCTCTGAGGCTGTCTGTGAGGGATTGTCTTGACGGAGTTCATTGGTGAAACATTTTAACTCTGGGTAGGACTTTTCCCTTAGCCGGGCATCCTGGACTGTATAAAATGTAGAGGATAAGCTGAGTACTAGCATACATATATTAATTTATGGCTCTCTGATCTTGACTGCAGATATAATATGACCAGTTCTCTCAAACTCCCCTGTGACTGCAACCTAGAACTGTGAGCCAAATAAACCCTTTCTCCCTTAAGTTGTTTTTGCCAGGATATTTGATCACAGCAACAGAATGGAAACTAAGACAGTTTCCATGTGATGACTCAGTTCATTTCCAATGAACAACTATCACATCCCATGTTCTGCAGTGGACCCCGAGGCTTCTGAGATTAACACCCAAGGTAAGCAGCTTCTAGTATGATGGTAGAAACACACATAAGCACACACCTAATGCCAGTAGATTACTGCATATCACAGGATGAGTACAGGCATAGGATGTGACAAGTGATGGAAAGCATGGGACTGGATCCTCTGGAGATCTCAGGGGGGTTCTTGCCTCTGAGTTGCTTAGTAAATCACAACTTCTCAGGGAATAGAAGAGGGAAATCATTTACACACGTATAACAAGGCCTGCATAATGCAACGGGTATCCTCTGCTCATACTGAATGGAAGACTGAACAAAGGTAGGACAGCAAGTGTCTGAGTTTGCTATAACTATCAACTTGACATGGCCTAGAGAGAGTCTCAATTGAGAGGTTTCTCAGATTAGGTTTACCTATGGGCATGTCTATCGGGGATTGTCTTGATTGTTAATTGTTGTAAAAGAGTTCACCCTTCTGTGAACAGCACCATTCCCTGATCAGGTGAACCTGGACTATATAAAAAAGCTAGCTGCATACCAGCCTGTAAACCAGCAAGCAAGAAGCATTCCTCCCTGGTTTCTGCTTCAAGTTCCTGCTTGAGCCCCTGCCCTGACTCCCCTCAATGATGGACTGTAAAGCAGAAATAAATCCTTTCTCTTAACTTGCTTTCAGTCAGAGTGTTTTATCACAGCAACAGAATGAAACAACACTAGCAAGTTTAGTCATTTCCCCTTCTGTCACACACTACTCTAGCCCTCCGTTATAGTACAAACCACTTTCTTATGACTTAAAAACAGCTTCTCTCCATCTAGATGTGAACTCTTAAGCTGGGATTATGTCTGATTTATTTCTACTTCCCTGGCATCCAGAAAAGGCCGTGGTTTAGAAAATGACTCAGTGGGTAAAGGTGCTTGCTGTCCATCCTGACCACTAGAGTTTAATTACAGAACCCACATGGTGGAAAGATAGAACTAACTCCTAAGGGTGTCCTCTGCCCTCCACCTGGGGCCCATGGCATACACATACCAACACTCACATACATGCACACACCAAAAAGAAAATGCATCCTTTGATCTTTCTGCACCAAATGCATACATTCAGGACTCCACCTTACCCTGCAGCTCTGAAGCCACAGATCCGAGGACCCAGCAAACACCCGATCACAAGTGATAAAGCACCTCCCCAGGTACACTGTGATTCTAGTTCAGAGAACTGAGTGTGATCTTAGAGTGCAAGCTGTCTGAACTGCCCCAACAGCCTGACTTCAATATGGTCAGGGACTCAGTGACCAAAAGCTCAGTTCCTGTGATGCTGGCCTGAGGCTTAGGCTACTGTGGAGTTCTTTCTTATGCTCAGAGGAGGCATGGTGGGAAACTAAAATTCCCCAGCTAGGCAAACCTGGGTTTGAATCCTGGTTGCCCGTGTCCTAATTTTGCAGTGGAGGTAGGTATTCATCTCTTTGAGGTTATTTTTAAGACAGGGATAATAATAACTTAATTTGTTGCTGGCAAACAAAGGCCAGTAGAGGAAACTGTCACACTGCCTGAAATATAAGTCTCTACCCTTTGGGGTTCTTTTGTTTTTTGTTTTTTGGTTTTTTTTTTTTCTTGATATCTTTCCACTATGTGGCCCAGGCTGGCCTTGAACTCACAATCCTCCTACCTCAGCATCCAAACACTGTGGTTTACAGGCCTGTGCCATCACCCCTGGCACTGAATGCATCTTTATCTCACATCAGATTCACCACCATAAGTTCACTGTTAGCCTTGACTGGACCACTAGAAGTTGCACAAAAGGCCATGACTCCTGATTCCTCCCATGGTTTCTCCACTCCTCCCTCTTAGTCTTGGGGGGTCTTTCTCAGTTGCCACCTGCATGCTAGATCCCATCATACCCCTCCGGGTTCCCTGGATACCTTCACAGATGTCACCACGCTCCTGGAATCCCGCACTGCAGGTGCAGCGGCCCACAGGCACCAGCCACTCGCCATCCGCGCCACAGTGCATGCGAGGCGGGCTGCCGGGTTCCCCTTCCGAGTGGGCCACGCACGTTCCGGCCACTTCCACCAGCGTGGAGAAGGCGCTCTCGGCGGCCGTGGCGGGGAAGGCTGCCAGGCCTCGCACCGTGGCGCGGCACTGTTTGTAGTAGACACGCACCGAGACCAGCGCCACGCAAGCGCCCACATCCTGAAAGGCCAGGTGGAAGCCCCGCCTGCTGAGTGGGCCGATCTCACGAACCTCTGTGTTCAGCTTCATCTTGCGCTCGCCCAGGTCTCCCTGCGTAAAGCTCTCGTCTGCAGCAATTGTGTCAATCTTGCGAGGTCGGCTGCCTCCCAAGCGCGGACGCCCGCGGCCCAGGTCGGCCTCGGTTTCCAGGTAGTAGACGTTGAAGGTCTCCTTGCAGGTTCCCGAAGCACCGGGGATGCTGCTGCAGTCGCGCAGCGTGAACTTCAGCTCTACGAAGATGCGCTGCCCTCGGCCTCGGCTGATCCAACCAGTCTGCAGCCAGTTGTCCTGGTTAGGCTCCAGTACGTTGCATACTTGGTACGTCCTGATGGGACGGTCGTGTTCGTCCACGCCGCTGATCTCCTCCCACTGATGCAACAAAATAGAAAGCTCAGAGTCAGGTTACACACCAGCCCTGACCTCTCTTTACCTGCCCTCCGTCTACCATAAAAACCCTTAAAATGACAAAATGCAGAGATGAGGAGACACTTCAGAGATGAGCAAGTCTAATCTCTTTCTTTTTTTCTCTTTCTGACATTGGGGATTGAACCTACGGCCTGAGCTTGCTAGGCAAGCCCTTTGCCACTGATCTATACCTCCAGACCTCTTTTCCCTTTTTATTTTGAGACAGGGTCTCACTAAGTTGCCCAGACTGGGCTTGAACTCACTATGCAGCTCAGGCAGACCTTCACCTTGTAGTCCTCCTGCCTCCTGAGTCACTAGGATTACAGGTACAAACCATCTTACTTTTTTCTTTCTTTCTTTCAGATTTTTATTTTTATTTTTTTATT